GCTCCAAAAATGAAAATTAAACCCACGAAATTTGCTGTGGGAGAGCTCGATCCGGAGTTCATTAGCACTAACACATGCACACGTGGGTGTTATGGGTGGGGTTGTTGGGTGTGGCTTAACTCTTGCAGATCAGAAGGACGAAAATAAAACCCACAAAGTTGGATTTCCCCCTAGAAGAAACGAAAGTTTGGCTGAACGAAAGAAACCCGCTATACGGTAACCAGTTATGATGTATTGTTATTATATTATAATATACTTACCAGTTCCTTCCATGATTTATTGTTAATATCAAATATCCAAATATCAGAAGTATCACCTCCACCCACCACTAGTAGGTGTGGTCCTGAGCTAGTGTTAATCAATACACTGGAATGAGAATGTCTTTCCTCAGGCCATTGTACTAATCCTCCAGGATTAGATAACTTTGAACAATTCTAAAATAATAAAATTAAATTTAATTATCATAAACCACACCCACACACTCAGTGTTATGAATAATAATACACACATACAATACATTATTAATTAATAATTAATGTAATTATACTAATAATACACTCACCACTGATGTATCAGTAAAATTAAGAATATATACATTGTTACTCTCTCCACTATCAGTGTCACCTCCAAATAATATAGCACTGGAATTATTAATTGATGTTAAAGTGAATTCATCAATAGGAAGTGGTCTGTCTCCAGTGACAGTCGGTGATATCCATTGTCCTAAAAATATCAATAATAATAATTAGTGTGAATGGAATGCATTGGGTGGAGCAAACTAGTTGATATTTCTTTGATCATATTATCAAATAATTAGTAGTGACAACCATGAACAAACAAGCAAGCAATTCTCAATGCAACCAGTCTGAGTGGAGAACCACCAAATAACAATACTTCATTATATTAATATAAACTGTATGTGCTCTGACCTGTTGAGAGTTTATAGAAATGGATCTCATTGCATCGTTGCCGACTAGAAGCTATTCCTTTAGCCTCACTGTACTGGGCACCAGGTTGTTTGGGTGTATTATTAGAAGATGGTCCAGATCCTCCAATTACTACAAGATAGTCCTTACCGTTCACTTTTATTGCTATCATGCCACAGTAGGCCTTCATCATAGGACCATGATGAGATGTAGTAGGAGAGAGTTCCTTCCAATTGAAGGTATCAACATTAAAACTGTATAAAATATTATATAATATTTATCAGTAAATATCATTTTTACCTGTATAAACTATTATGACAACAATTATCATGATTACAATAGCCTCCAAAATAAAATATTTCCCTTCCAATGGCAGCAGCTGCATAGCTCTTAACATCCAGTGGAGGGTTACCCAGTGGAGGGTTACCAGTGGTGGGTTTCTGCTCCCACCTACCAGTCCTTAAGTGATACACCTCCATCACAGAACACATTGATTTCTTCTTTTCATTATTAAGTAATCCAAGGAGACCAGGCTGGCCCCCACCCCACATGTACAGGTAGTCTCCTACCCGTACAGTGGAGTGTCCCTCCCTGTCCAGTGGTTGATAGTCTATAGATAACAAGAGGTAACAGTAACTGAATGATACACTAATAGTAACAACACACGAGTCATAATCAAGTATAAACAAAATTCTGACCTGGTGCTTTTGCTGCCATTTTGTTTGGAGGTAACGCCCTTCTATGACGTCAGATAATCAAGGTGTGGCATTAATTTGATTTTTGTCAGAAATAGAAATTAATTTAGAGTAAGTCGGGGCTATTCCGTCCCCTGTATAAACCAATGGGAAATCCGTGTGCAGCGGTCGGAATAGCCCCAGTTAGAGGGTCCTCTTTCTCCAGTTGTAACTTCTTAACTATAGCAGATACAGGACTGAAACAAGGATGTATCTATTCAGCATAGAATTTTCTAACTACCAACACCAAAGAACAGCTTGGTCTTTATAAAGTGCAGCTAAGCAACTCTGGCTAAAATTTTGTGTTCATTAGCTTTTTCACGAATTATCACCTAGTGATAGTGCTTGTATATCTCCGGTCACTGCATAATTTTCCCGTATACTAGTTAGTATCCGGAGGGTCGGAATAGCCCCGGTAGGGTCGGAATAGCCCCAACAACTAGGTCAGTGAAAGTACTGTTTTCATCCAAAGTTGAAGCTGAATTTTGCTGATTTCAAAAAAGTACAAATAGAAAAGACAAAGTAGAACTCAGTGATAAATAAAATAAATGAAATAAAGCAAAAAAGAGTGAGTTATGACTTCGTGAATATTTAATTAGATTTAAATCACGTGTATGCCCCTTCAGCTTCTTAATCAAGGGGGTGTCACTTGCATATAGTCCGTACTTTGATCAAGATAAAAACACCTTTGACACCTTGATCTACAAACTTGATGCTTGATTTTGATCCCCTCACGTGCGTGCACAGCTAATTAAAAATTCAGAGATCTGCATAATCAAAGATATACGGAAAATGTACATGTCTTGATGTACGATCCCTTAATCTCAACTGGTTTCAGTGCTGCTTCTTTAATGTATTGATTTTTACTTGATCGCTGTCGCAAGTGTAACTACAGGTTATATGCAAGTGTCACCCCCTTGTTAATGGCTTCTATGTTTTCTTCTTGTCGTTCTCTCTCTTCTGTTGTACCATATGACCCTCCAAATCAACTGAAAAGTAAAGTTCTATTTCTTTATTTTTTTATTAAATGGAATTATTCATTAGTTACTGATCTTCCTGAGGTACTTGATTTACTCAGAAACCATGGTTATTTAGGAACCAGCTATGATATTCTTGGTTTTTGTCTTGGACTCTCCTCTACTACACTAGATGTTATTAGAAATAACAATAGTGATGATACTGAGAGTTGCCTACGTGAGTGTCTCAAGGCATGGTTACTGAAAGCTGATAATCTAGAGTGGACTAAAGGTAATCCTACGATCTATTCATTGGTATCAGCATTGAGGGAATTAGGAGAGAATGGAGTAGCTGATGGAATAGATATGGCGAGTAAGTTTAATAAAAATGAGTACCTCATTTATTTATTTATTTATTTTAGTGCATCCTGCTTGTAAAATAGTTGCTCGATATACCTCAAACCAATCTCTACTGTCTGTATTACCTCAGTTGGATATATATTTGTATGAAGCAAAGCTAATAAAAGGGGCAATCATCCCACGTAATAGACAAGGAGAAGCACTACTGGGTCGAATAAAGGAAGCTATCTGTGTTGATTATAGAAAACTTGAGGCATTTGCTGATATTTTATGTCAAGACCCTGTCACTGCTGAGATAGGAAATGCTATTATGAGAGACTACAGTAAGTACATATTTAATAACATATACTAATGATTGTTGTATAGGAGAGCTTGATGGAAGTGATGATTCAATTGAAGAATGTGTAGATAATAAAAATGGTAAGAAATGTAGCTAATTATATTATTATATTTATTAATTTAGTTGAAATGCTGATGCATGTAATTTATTTTTCTGTGAGTATCACTTCAGAGTTCAAGTTGATGAGATTAAAGTTTGGGCAAACATTCTTTAAAGTTGGATCAATCATGATGAACAGCCCTCAGTCTCCAACGCTTGATAATATCAAATATGTTTTGGGTATATACAATAGTGCATTGAGGCCTCAGCTAGTTCATTTTAAAGATATACGTGACGTTCTACAATTAGTTAGTGATAACAGTTCACTGGATGATATTAGTATGCTGGAGTATCTTGTTGATGAGTCTAATTTAGAGGAGGCTCAGGTAGTTATTAAGAAATATAAAGAAGCTATTGAGGAGTTTAAGGAAATAAAATTTATTCCATTTTTGAGAGAAAAGTTTCCAATTGCCGTGCCATTTGAGTTTACCATTATTGTTGATGAAGACGCTGACAAGTCAATGCTTAACGATGTCAAGAGACTGTCATCAGCTATATTTGAAAAGGCACCACAACATATCAGAATAAATGTCATTAGAGGTGAGGGTGTTGGTAGTTTGTGGAAAGAAGAATTTATTGACCGATACTTCTGTATAGGCTTTAGTCTTCAAAGTAAAGATACCACACTAACAACTGAAGTACGAGCAGGTACATCAATATTATTAATATGATACATAATGTAACTATTGAGTATAGGAACAACAGAGTCAGTGAGCCATTCTTACCAGGAGGAGGAGGAAGACGAAAAAGATGAGGAAAAGCAACTGGAGGAAGAAAAGGAACTTCATGAAGAAGAGAAACTAATTTATGAACAAGTTATAAAGGAATCTGAAGAGAAAATAGCAACACTTATTGAACTACAGGAGAAAGTTACTGGAGGCTTGAAACAGACTCAGATCAAAGCAGAAGAATATGAAGAATCAAGATCAGGTTATACATTATTATCATGTAATTATATTATTGATTGATACTGTCCATATACTTTTTGTGCGTGATATGTATGTACATGTTGTATTTTGTCTTGTTTAAATTCATCTCGTATACACATTATTTTTCTATTTATAGAATTACAGAATGAAATTCAAAAGATTAAAAATAAAAGGGGAATATTTCAAAGTATGTAGACTCACACCTTCTGATGGAAAATCTACATGTATAATGGACTTTTTGTACCATGTGCATGTTATTTTGTCATGTTTGAATTTATCTTACATTTATATACTTATTATAGAATTACAGAGTGAAATACAAAAGTTTAAAAATGAAAGCAAAACATTTCAAAGTATGTACACACACCATTAATTACTAGTTAATGACCTCTTCTTATAATTAGAACAAAGGAAAGCATTGATACTGGAGAATGAAAGATTAAGGTCATTACTTAAAGATCATAATGGTATACTTATTATTAATAATTATCAATAAATTTCATCTGATAGTACCAGTACAACAGAAAGAAGAGACTGAGATATTACAAGAGACTGAGACTGTACATACATGTACTTATATCAGTAAAGGTTAGTCCAATACTCTAATATAAACTGTTTCTACTGATAGACCACATGAATGATTACATGTGGAGGAGTACACTAGTTGATATTAGTAGTTACCATATTTGGAGTATAGGAATTTTTAGTGATTGGTGGGTGGAAATTGTGGCTATACATGTAATTGGATGTCATAATTATACTCATGTACATGTTTATTGCATTATGGTTCAAGATAAGATTTTGTTTGCTATCAAATTGAACAAAATTTTTCTCTAAATTTATCTGCTTTTCTTAATTTTCAATTAACATTACTATTATTATTGGTATAAATGACATATACAATTATCAGTGATACTGGAACCAGTTGAAGATGACTCGTATCATATTGGACAGTGTCTTGAAGTGAAGGAATCAGTGTTAACTGAAATCAAAGAGATGACACCAGTTGATTCAAGATTAACTCATGTACTTGAGACCTGGTGTCATGAGAAGGATAGAACAATGACTGAACTGAAGGAATCATTGAAAAGAATTGACAGAGATGATATACTCGAAGGTAAGGATTAGAGATTGGTATATATTAATAATATTCATGTACTGTACATTGTCATTCACTGTAGGTTTACATGAATTACCTACTGGACAATATACAATGAATAATGATGAAGAATATGATATTAATGGTATGTTGTTGATGTTGACATGCATATTAATCATCATTATTTTTAGTAAAAGATTCAAAAGAATTTGAGAATCATATTGAAGCTGAAAACAAAGAAATAAAAACAACCCAAACAAGTATTTAATTATTTATTTATTATCACTTTTATTCTTTTTAGCTCTTGACAAAGAAATTCAGTTTAACTATCTTGTACCATCACAAGGTAAGTTAATCCCTGTAGCTAGTTAGTAACGTGGTAGCGTTACTAACTAGGATTCATCCTCAAACAAAATGGCTGCCACAACTATTGCAGCCTTGCTATATACATGGTT